TTGTTCCACCCCACAAATAACCAGAGTGGAATTCCAAAACTCTTAGGCAGCTACACAGTTACTATTGTGTAATGTAACTATATAATTAGGGATAAGTTTGTGGATGTTACATTTGTAATCTTTACTTGCAAACTGATGTAGGTAATATTAGCAAACAAAATAAATACATTCTATCTAACTGGGGCTAGTTAGTAGAGGGCTAGTGTGTCCATTTATTTATTATTTTTACATTTAATTGTTAGTGATATAACATTAATGCATATACCAAATCAGTTGCCAGTAGAGGGAGCTATGTATCCTTTCGCTATACCTTTCTTTCCAATGCACTTATTTAATCTCATTCAACAACTCACCAGCACACTTTTTGAAAAATGTTAAGTGGACACATTTTTAAAAAGTCTTAAAAGGATTGTCAGATTCTTCTGTTGTAATCTGCTAAATAACACAGTACTGACTCAAATATTAACACAGTAACTCGGCATATACCTCATAATACTTTACAATTGTAAAATTTTTATTTTTTTTACATAAGTAGAAAACATATAGACACATTGTATTACAATAAATAAGATATAATTAAAGGAAAAAAAAATATATATATAAATACGTACTAAAAGACTAACAATACAGACTTATCGCTTTTGAGTTTCTCTACATCAAAACAAATTGGTGTTAAGTTTTCTTTTAATTTTGTCATTAACATATTACTACCATAAATCGAGGATGGTATACCTGTAATACATCATAATAACCCTCATAATTTGATGATTCATTAATTGTTTAAATTTGTCTTATTTCATGTAATGTCTTAGTAAATAAACATACCAACAATGCACAGAATAACAGAACAAAAAAATTCCAAAATAGGTTAGGGTATCATGTGTGCCAAGGGTACCTCTAGTAAGAATGGATTCGCTAAGTCTGTTTTGATGTTGTTTTAGTAAAGTTGGTTTCGAGACAATAATTCCAATTATAAATGAATGACTCAATCATTCATGTGAATGTATAATGGCCATATAGTTTGCCTATAGTTCATAGGCTGGTTTTGTAGTACTCATACCATTTATCCCAGATTTTATTATATTTCATAATATTTACATTGTTAAAATAAACTGCTTTTTCCATTTTCAACATGATGATTTATTTAAGTTGAAATTTCGATAGAGGTGGGGGTTTCCTCGCTCTTCCAATATCTTGCAATACAAATCTTTGTTGCCATCAAAATGTGAATTATCAGAATTTAATAGACAGGTAAGATTCAGAAACTGAAACAGAAACTTTTCAGGCATCAATTGCAATATATCTAATTTTAAATCTCGTTGTAAGAGAAACTATTTAATCCAATTCAGTGGATGTAATCTTTATTACATCTCCAGCATTGATTAGAGTATTGATCTTTAAATTTACATAATCTTATGGGAACTAAATACCACCTATTTTATAAAAATGTTCTAATATAATTATACAGTGTACCGATTTAATAAGATAACCAATGGATTCTTAAATGCATGGTTTATAATCAGTTTTAAATAAGTGTTAATTGATCTATTATCAATGTGTCAAATGCTCATGTGATAAATCCACTTCCCATTAATACTTGAGTTTCTTATCAAATTATCCCATTGTTTCCTTACTATTTAATAGAGTCTATGTTCTCTTTAAAATCACCTTTTGTGCTTTATAAAGTGATCTGTATTATAATTGTTGTTACATCCAACTATGTATATCGAATTTATATTATAAAAGTGCTTCTAAATAGTGCTTCTCATTAATAGAACTTCAATAATACGTGGGCTATATCCGCTTAATCAGGAAAAAACAAAAAACACAAAACAATAATCTAGTAATATATACACAAGTCTTCTTTAGTTCATAGTGTTATATCTACATAGATATTGGACATTATAAGGATACCTCTGTTCCATACAACCTATATCTTTGTGTCTAGATAGATCTTTTATGGGATCATTCATGATGATAGATTGATCTCCAAATGAAATTATTAGCTTAGTCGGGAATCGCCATCTGTAAATGACATTTTTTTGTCTAAGTTTTTTCGTGACTTCTTTAAAAACCGGGAAAAAACAAAATATCTTTAAATTTATCGTTTTGTAAATCAGGTTTTGCTCTCATTTGTTTCTTTAAATGATCTATTATGGATCCATTGATAAATCTGACAATGACATCTCTTGGTCTAGAGTCTGCAGAATTAATTAATCTATAAATTCTGTGACATCTTTCTATCTGATATGAGCCAATTTATTTTGCAAATCTATATACTGAGAGATAAATTCATTAATGTATTTCTCCAAATTCATTTGTTTTATGTCTTCCGGGATTCCTTTAAATCTAAGCTTGTTACGATGAGACCGATCTTCTCGATAACCCTAGACTCTAACTCTTTTAACTGATTAACAAGAGAATTATTCTGTGATTGAAGCAGAGACATCTCGGCTCTAGCTTTGACAATTTCTCTATCTTTTACCTCAATTTCTGTGCTTAAGGCAGAAATTTCTTTCATCAGATCTGACATGTTCTCTTTAAAATCATTTTTAATTTTCACATATAGCTCCTCCATTAATATCGACAGGCTTTGATGAGTAACTCCTTCAATATCTAAAGCTACAGTGTTACTGGCAGACCTGTCAAGTTGAGCTCCTTAAGTGTAGGTGAGAGGGATCTCCTCTGTGCTAATGGTTTATTGGTTTCAGGTTTAGGTGAATAAAACGTGCTGATCGGCTTATTTTCTTCTGTTTTATCGCAATTTTCACAGGTTTTTTGGGGTTTTACTTCCTCTTCCCCTTTTCTTTTTTTATTTATTTTTTCCCCTTCCTTAAGTCTCAGATTGTGTGTATGTCTGTCAGTGTGTGTCTCCGTACAGGGAGGGGTTCTTCCATGCAGGGGCAGAGCTTGTGTGCTGGGGAAGCTGCTGCACAGTGGCGGAACGAACGTAAAGCTGACCCTGGTGCAAAAACTGTTTTGGGCCCCTGAAGACACATGCCCATCGGGTGGCCCACTCAATGGGCCCCGATCCGCAACACCCGCACTCCCTGTAGTTCCACCGCTGAGCCTTTCTTATTACAGGCAAGAAACCTATTCACGGTGTGATAGAATTTATCTTCTAAGGCTCAAGCTTATAGGTGTCATATAATGATATCCTATGTTAAAATTGGCTAACTTGGACTCAGGAAATGCTTGATGCTTAACACGACACTTAAGACCATATATGTCTAGTTCCGGGAGCAGAGAGCCCCCACCTAAGATGTCTCTTCTCTAATCTTTTTGTTCTTTCTTACCTTGGAACTTATTTGTTATGTGTACATGACGTTCATCACTTATCTGTACTCCCTTCCTATTACTGTTCTAAGAGTATTTGCACATAAGCACTTACTTTTTAATGTATAAAACCTAGCTAATTAAAAAAAATGTCAGAGGCTTATTTTGAATGCCAACAGGTGTCTGGTGTCTAATTCTCGCTTCTCCAAGTGCACTAATTTGGGCTTCCTCTGAATATAACAAAGATCATTATTTGGATCCACAACAACGGAAACCGGAAAACCTTTTTAAGAGATCATTTTCCATGGTGTTTAAAAGGGGCTGTGGCGAAGTGTGTGTATATAGGAGTCTGTTTATAGTGTACTATGTGTAACTAGCACGTGCGCATCTATTGAAGCATTTGGGATTGTGTGTGTGTGCTGAAAGGGCCTGTAAAGTGTATACGTGGGCATATAGGGGCTGCATTGTGAGTGTATGTGTATTGGGGTTGCATTGTGTGCATATCAAGGAGCTGTAGTATATATATTTATATATATGAGATTCGGTGTGTAATGGGTTGAAGCATGTATGTATGTATGTATGTGTGTGTGTTTGGTGTTGAAGGTATGTTGGGAAGAAGTGTGTGTGTGGGTGAAGAGATGGTGTGTGTGAGGGGTGCACTGTGTGTGTATGCAAAGGTGTACTTTGTGTTGGTGGGAGTGTACTGTATGTGAGGGGTTCACTGTCTGTGAGGGTGTACTGTTTTTGGGGAGTTGTAGAGAGTGGCATAGGGAAGAGCTTTACAATGTATTCCCCTTTCCCTGATCTTACCTTGCAAGGAGGGGGGTGACACAATCAGATCTGTGGTGGTTGAGAAGGCTGCCTATCTATTTGGTACAGGGGAGGTCACGAGCTCAAGCACTTACACAGTATAACCCATACACATACACAGACTGAGCCATACACACACACACATACACACAGATGTCCCCACCCCCACAGACGGACCCATACACACGCACAGACTGACCTCCCCACACACACACAGACTGAGCCACACACACAGACTGACCCACACAGACTTACCCATCCCACCCCACACAGACTGACACACACACACAGAGACTGAACCAACACACTGACTCACACTTACCAGCAGTTGCCTGGATGCCACTGTGCAGAGCTGAGCTTCCTCTCCCTATCTCCCTGTGTTGCTCTCTATGACCTAGGAGAAAGTCTTCCCAGCACAGTTCCCCCTCTGGCCACTTGTGGGAAAAGGGTGGAACACAGTTCCCCAGTTACAGCACTGCTGCTGCAACTTGTGAAGGGAGACGCAGTGCTCACGACTGGGGGGCCACAAGTGGGGCACTGCATGATGTAGGGGGAGCAAGGCCCCCTTTGCCCCACTGATGCCACAGATCCTCCTCTAAGCAGTGCGTGTCAGGTCATTGCCAACGATTCTCCTCTAAGCAGTGTGTATCAAGCTGCTGCCAATGATCCTACTCTAAGCACTGCATATCAGGGTGCTGCCAGTGGTCCTCCTCTAACCACTGCATAGCAAGCTAGAGATCTTACTTAAGCAGTGCGTATCAGGTTGCGGCCAGCAATCCTTCTCTAAGCAGTGCATATCAGGCCACTGCCATTGATTCACCTATAAGCAGTGCATATCAGGCTGCTGCCAATGATCCTCCTCTAAGCACTGCATATCAGACTACTGCTTGAGATCCTCTTCTAAGCAGTGCATATCAGTGCTCCTGCAGGCAAACCTCCATTAAGCAGTGCATGTCAGGCAAGTGACCCTCCTCTAAGCAGTGCATGTCAGGCTGCTGCCGGCGATCCTCCTCTAGGCACTGCATGTCAGGCTGCTGCCGGCGATCCTCCTCTGAGCAGTGCATGTCAGGCTGCTGCCGGTGATGCTGCCGGCGATCGTCCTCTAAGCACTGCATATCAGGCTGCTGCCGGTGATCCTCCTCTAAGCAGTGCATGTCAGGCTGCTGCCGGTGATCTTCCTCTAGGCACTGCATGTCAGGCTGCTGCCAGCGATCCTCTTCTAAGCAGTGCATGTCAGGCTGCTGCCAGTGATCCTCCTCTAAGCAGTGCATGTCAGGCTGCTGCCGGCGATCCTCCTCTAAGCAGTGCATGTCAGGCTGCTGCCGTCGATCCTCCTCTAAGCAGTGCATGTCAGCCTGCTGCCAGCAATCCTCCTCGAAGCAGTGCATGTCAGGCTGCTGCCGGCGATCCTCCTCTAAGCAGTGCATGTCAGACTGCTGCTGGTGATCCTTCTCTAAGCAGTGCATGTCAGGCTGCTGCCGGTGATCTTCCTCTAGGCACTGCATGTCAGGCTGCTGCCAGCGATCCTCTTCTAAGCAGTGCATGTCAGGTTGCTGCCGGCGATCCTCCTCTAAGCAGTGCATGTCAGGCTGCTGCCGGCGATCCTCCTCTAAGCAGTGCATGTCAGGCTGCTGCCGGTGATCCTCCTCTAAGCAGTGCATGTCAGGCTGCTGCCGGTGATCCTCCTCTAAGCAGTGCATGTCAGGCTGCTACCGGTGATCCTCCTCTAAGCAGTGCATGTCAGGCTTCTGCAACTGATCCTCCTCTAAGCACTGCATGTCAGGTTGCTGCCGGTGATCCTCCTCTAAGCAGTGCATGTCAGGCTGCTGCCGTCGATCCTCCTCTAAGCACTGCATGTCAGGCTGCTGCCCTCGATCCTCCTCTAAGCAGTGTATGTCAGGCTTCTGCCAGTGATCCTCCTCTAAGCAGTGCATGTCAGGCTGCTGCCGGTGATCCTCCTCTAAGCAGTGCATGTCAGGCTGCTGCCAGTGATCCTCCTCTAAGCACTGCATGTCAGGCTGCTGCCAGTGATCCTCCTCTAAGCAGTGCATGTCAGGCTGGTGCCCACGATCCTCCTCTAAGCAGTGCATGTCAGCCTGCTGCCCACGATCCTCCTCTAAGCAGTGCATGTCAGGCTGCTGCCGGTGATCCTCCTCTAAGCAGTGCATGTCAGGCTGCTGCCAGTGATCCTCCTCTAAGCACTGCATGTCAGGCTGCTGCCAGTGATCCTCCTCTAAGCAGTGCATGTCAGGCTGCTGCCCACGATCCTCCTCTAAGCAGTGCATGTCAGCCTGCTGCCCACGATCCTCCTCTAAGCAGTGCATGTCAGGCTGCTGCCGGTGATCCTCCTCTAAGCAGTGCATGTCAGGCTGCTGCCAGTGATCCTCCTCTAAGCACTGCATGTCAGGCTGCTGCCAGTGATCCTCCTCTAAGCAGTGCATGTCAGGCTGCTGCCCACGATCCTCCTCTAAGCAGTGCATGTCAGCCTGCTGCCCACGATCCTCCTCTAAGCAGTGCATGTCAGCCTGCTGCCCACGATCCTCCTCTAAGCACTGCATGTCAGCCTGCTGCCCACGATCCTCCTCTAAGCAGTGCATGTCAGCCTGCTGCCAGTGATCCTCCTCTAAGCAGTGCATGTCAGCCTGCTGCCCACGATCCTCCTCTAAGCAGTGCATGTCAGCCTGCTGCCCACGATCCTCCTCTAAGCACTGCATGTCAGCCTGCTGCCCACGATCCTCCTCTAAGCAGTGCATGTCAGCCTGCTGCCCACGATCCTCCTCTAAGCACTGCATGTCAGGTTGCTGCCAGTGATCCTCCTCATATATGCATTCAGGCTTCTAGCAGAGTAGTTCCACATGCGCACAAGCTGATTTAGCATTTCCTCCAGCAGTGCTGTACTCTTGCACCGTGCATAAGACACTGCAAGCAATGCTTTGACTGATGTTGCCCAACAAAACATATCAACAAAAATAAAAAAACATAAATAATTTTTTAAAAATAGCACAACCAATAGCAAACATTTTAGTTACATATTAGGTTGTGCTAAAATTGAGGAAGTGCAACAATTAATTTTTATTTTCTTAAAATCAATCAGCAGGAAGGAGCAATGATGTATTCATATCTAAACAAATAAAACATGTTCTATTTGTTTATTAAAACTGACTTTTTTGGAACAATAAATTGGCCATAAAGTTCACATCGATAATATGCTTCCTCTCTTTTCTGGGGAATGATAGGTCTCTGAGCTGTTTACTAAGGTTGCAAAGGGAATGTGGTTCATAAAAACAGTTACAAGACGATCTGAAATATAAAGGTGAGATCTTACACTCAGTGTTTGTCAGTGTAACGTATACAGGAAAGGGTCATTTATCCCATTAGTTGTTTAACGTAGGAATAAAATTTAAACTGAATCTCCTGTGAGTTTAGGGAAGGTCAGGACAAAGCCGATGTTATACACATTTCCAGTAGTGTATTACTGGTAATTATCGGGATAGTTTATCTTCCAAACCTCTATTTAAGATATAAATACAAGAGTCAAACTGTGAAACCACTAAAGTTGCTGCCTGATAATTAACATCCTTTCCTCTCCTCCTGTAATCATTGCAGAAACAGTCCATCTTAAGATGTTTTGCAGAAATACCTTATTTATAGATCTCAACATGTAAATTCTGCCGCTTTTACTATTAGTAAGTTATTAAATTTGAAAAGAGCACCCAATATTGTATAAATAAGTGTGTGATTATACAACAGTCAAACAGTGGCGTCACTAGGGGGGGGCAGAGCCCCCCTAGATCAGGCTGTGCCCCCCTTTGTGCCCCCCCCCCAACTGGAAATGAACATACTGCTCGCTGGGCTCCCTCCATGTTACTGAGAGCCCAGCCCCTGAGCAGATGGATCCTGCAGGCAGGGGAATTCCCCAGCCTGTAAACATGGAGAGACACTGGAGGGAGGAGGGAAGCAGGCTGTGCTCACTGAAGAGGAGGAGAACCCATTGTCCAGCCTGCAGGAAGTCTCCCCTTTGTTTCTGCTGGGGGAGCACAGCCTGCTTCCTGCTTCCTCCTCCCTCCAGTGTCTGTGCGTGTTTACAGGCAGGGGGATCCATCTGCTCAGGGGCTGGGCTCTCAGTAACATGGAGGGAGCCCAGCCAGCAGTAAGTACTGAATGGATCCTCCTCCACAGCCCTAGCACATGGATGGCCCACATGGAGCCCAAGGGGGCTGATCATATTGTGTATGTTTGTGTGTGTATAAAGTGTGACTAAACTGGTGTGAGTGACATTGTGTGTGTATAGTTCAGTAAGAGTGTGTGTTAGTGAGAGTGTAAGATATTGTGTGTATGTGTATACTGAATAGTGTGTGTTAGTGAGAGTGTAAGATATTGTGTGTATGTGTATACTGAATAGTGTGTGTTAGTGAGAGTGTAAGATATTGTTTGTATACTGAATAGTGTGTGTTAGTGAGAGTGTGAGAAATTGTGTGTGTGTGTGTGTATACTGAATAGTGTGTGTTAGTGAGAGTATGTGTATACTGAATAGTGTGTGTTAGTGAGAGTATGTGTATACTGAATAGTGTGTGTTGTTAGTGAGAGTGTGAGACATTGTGTGTGTGTATACTGAATAGTGTTTGTTAGTGAGAGTGTGAGACATTGTGTGTGTATACTGAATAGTGTGTGTTAGTGAGAGTGTAAGATATTGTGTGTATACTGAATAGTGTGTGTTAGTGAGAGTGTGAGACATTGTGTGTGTGTATACTGAATAGTGTGTGTTAGTGAGAGTGTGAGACATTGTGTGTGTGTGTATACTGAATAGTGTGTGTTAGTGAGAGTATGTGTATACTGAATAGTGTGTGTTAGTGAGAGTGTGAGACATTGTGTGTGTGTGTATACTGAATAGTGTGTGTTAGTGAGAGTGTGAGACATTGTGTGTATACTTAATAGTGTCAGTGAAATTATGTGTATACTTAACAGTGTGTGTTAGTGAGATTGTGGCACATTGTGTGTATACTTAATAATAGTTAGTGGGAGTGTGTGACATTGTGTGTATACTTAATAGTGTGTGTCAGTGACGTGTGTATACGTAATAATAATGTGTTAGTGTGTGACATTGTGTGTATACTTAATAATAGTGTGTGTTAGTGAGTGTGTCAGTGACATTGTGTATATACTTAATACATGTGTTAGTGAGAGTGTGTGACGTGTGTATACTTCAGTAAGTAGTGTATGTTAGAGTGTGTAAGTGACGTGTGCGAGTGACTATGCGACCAATTATATTCATAATACATTTGATAGATTATAATGAAAAAAATGTTTCTTACAGTGAACCTGTTACACAGGTTCACTGTAACATTAATTAACGTAAACCCATTACTATAAATTAAATCCCACAATATTATAAATAAAATCCCACCAAATGAATGAAAATATTATCACAGCTATAAATTATATATTTAATGTAAAATGTATCTCAACACGCAAAAATGCATTTCCCCCTGACATGCTTGCGCTCACTCCCCCTCCACCAACACACACAGACACACAGATATGCGTACTGGCACATACACACACTCTGGCACATACACACTGACACACAGATACACACATTGAAATGCACACTGGCACATACATTCAGATACACACACTGAAACACACACAGATACACACACATATTGACATGCACAGAAGTCATACTTTATAGATTTGATTGTGTGTGTGATTTCCGGGATATTATGTATGATCTGTGTGTGTGTCAGGGAACCGCATTCAACATGCGAGAGTCTCCCTGAACTACCTGGAGACATGGGATTTCTGGTATTTGGCAGTATGTTTGTATGGATGTATGTTTTAGGCAGTGTGCGTGTATGGGTGTATGTATTAGGCAATATATGTATTGTGCAATATGTGTGTGCAGATGGATGTATTAGGCAGTGTGTGTGTATGGATGTAAGTAATCAGTGAGTATGTATTAGGCAGTGTGCGTTTATGGGTCTATGTATTAGGCAATATGTGTGTATAGATGTATGCATCAGGCAATATGTGTGTATAAATGGATGGATGGATGTATTAGGCAGTGTGTGTGTGTATATGTATCAGGCAATATGTGTGTATAAATGTATGGATGGATGTATTAGGCAGTGTGCGTGTATGGGTTTGTATGTATTAGGCAATATGTGTGCAGGAGCAGAGCAAACAGAGAGGAGCAGAACAAGCAGAGAAGAGGCAGCGCAGAGCAAGTAGAGAGGACAAGAGCAGAGAGGAGCTGAGCAAGTAGAGAGGAGCGGAGCAGAGTAAGTAGAGAAAAGCAGAGCAAGTCGAGAGTGGCGGAGCAGAGCAAGCAGAGAGGAGTAAAAGCAGACCATGCAAATAGAAGCACAGCATGCAGAGAGGAGGCAGAGCAGAGCAAGCAAAGAGGAGCAGAGCAAGCATAGAGGAGCAAGAGCAAAGGAGGCAGAACAGATCAAGCAGAGAGGAGCAGGTATTGTGGCCCGCTGCCTCTGCCACATCTAGGTTCTGAGAAAAGTGAATTAATTGCACTGATTACAGTGAGTGGTGTGAGTGTGACAAAGGTTACTTACTCCTGATTGCAGACAGTGAGTGGTATGACAGTGGCACTTACTCCTGATTGCAGACAGTGAGTGGTATGACAGTGGCACTTACTCCTGATTGCAGACAGTGAGTGGTATGACAGTGGCACTTACTCCTGAGATTGCAGACAGTGTTGTGACAGTGTCACCTTACTTACCAGAGATTGCAAACAGTATGCAGTGCGGCCCCACATAAGGTGTGAAACCTTACCTACCTGAGAGTGCAATTTGCAGAGGGACTGAGTGAGCGAAGCAGACACGCCAGACAGTGGCACTACTACTGTAAGTAATGTGAACTTTAATTGCAGCTTCTGAGTAAATAATATGCATGTACCCAGGATTCCATATTGTGAGCAAGAGAATGAAACAAGTAATTTTAGTTTGTGTTGGTATAGTATTCACCAACTATAGGTCAGGGCACAAACTTTAGTGCCAACCATTTTTAATTGTTCATGGAAGTGGAGCTAAATCTGCTCTTCTTACAGGAAAAGTTCATTTGAATTAGCATTTCAAAACACAACTTTGTGTCACTTTAAAATGCTTAAACTGTAGCGTAGAGAATACACTGTTAAGTGACCATTTTCTATGTATGTGAAATATTTATATAGAAGTGTTAATTTAAATTCCCTTCAAATTGCATGTTGTAAATTATTTTTAAAAATAATGGGGTTTTTTAAAACTAGTTTTGTAACAATTCTGGCATCATGAGATATTGTTACAATTGCAACTCTAAAGCAGACTTAAGCATATTTATCAAGGTGCTGGAAATCTGAATTTTGTTAACTTTTAAATGTTCTCCGCGTGTGTGTGTACACACACACACACACACACACAAGTTTTGTAATTTCCCCCCTACTTCTGTCCCCGGCCCCCCATGTGCTCCCCCTAAATATGAATGCTGGAGACGCCACTGCAGTCAAATGAAGGGGTATCACTTAATTTCCCTATAGAAAGTTTTTAAATACTTTATTACCCAAGTATAGATTATTTTCAAGATTGAAAAACCCAGAACCAAATTAAGGTTGCCCAGGGCCATAGAAACATAGAATGTGACGGCAGATAAGAACCATTCGGCCCATCTAGTCTGCCCAATTTTC